GTAGTGCTGTTTATTCCTTTGGCCTACTATTTATGCTTTTTTTTCAGTTTAGCAATGCTTATTTATTTATTATTGTCATTGTAATTTTATCTTTTAATTTCATTCCTTTATATTATTTCTCTTTTTCTTTTGATAGTGCTGTTTTTTCCTTTGGCCTGCCTCAGTTATTTTATAATGAAACTAAAAATGAAAATAAATAATAAACATTTTTAAAAATTTGTTAAAATAACAGATTATTAAGAAAATCTTCAATATCGTCGTAGGCCTACAGTACAGTACATTGGTTAATCTAACCAATGGTCTGACGTTGTACTTCTGCAGGATGCTTATGCGTGACTATGTTCTGTTTTCTTTCATGTTTGATGTTATGGGCTTTCCAAACCCTTGTACAGGAACCTTGTTCCTCCATGGCCTCGCCCTCCTCCTGTATTTATTTATGAGGAAATTAAAATATTTTTATTATAAAGACTTAATTTTACTGTACTTGTACAGGATAAGAATATTATTTTGCATTCAACAAAGCATGTCAACTGATGCCACTTATAATAATGATAATATATCACTGTCAGTCAGTGGCTTGATTATATGTGATTGCTCTGTAGAAGACTGCTACTGTAAGTAGTATTTATGTACGCGGTGGACCAGTCAATGTTTATAACCTTTTAAATTTCATGGTATTTATTGGTCAGCTTTAAGGATGACAATTCTTATTACCAATACTAGGCTGAGGTTGAAAGCTTCATGGAATACTGCAATAAAATATACTGTAGTTACTATAAATTACAGTAGAACTGATAAGATAGTATAATACATACTCCAAGTATCAAAATGCACGCCATCGTGTCGGGATTCAATATTTCGACATTAATTATGTCATCATCAGGAATGAAAATTATCCATATTTGCAAGCTTATATGCACAAGTACCAAAAGTATTTGACTAATCAAAACATTACCCTTAGTAGGTGACATAGTTATAAATAAACTATTAAGATCAAAGCATTCTTATCCTACTGATCAAAGCTACCTACAAGAACAAAGAAAGCTCCTTTGAAGCTTTCAGCCCATTGTTAAGCAATGGGTGTAGCCTACGTATAGCGAACGCTTCTTTAAACAATAGTATATAGACCAATTTTGCGAACTGTCATTAATGTTAGTATTAGAAAATATTAGACCTAATTTCTTACTTACATTACAGGCTACATTATCATTTTCAAGTATACCTTGTAAACCTAAAACATATTGGAATGCCTCACAATTTTGTATATGATCATTTATAACACTATCAGATCAAGAAGAATGTTCTTTAAGTCTAGTTATATTAAGCATCTATCTTGTAGTAGAACTGAGTGCATAAGAAATGAGATGAAAGTTCAATAGTGTTTCTAAAAGGTAGTGTGTTTTTGCTATTCTCATGGGTAGTGTCAAGACATAACATTCAATGCGTAGCCAGCTATTTGTACAGTCCCACACAATTTTTCTAATGGGTCCACATTTTTAAAAATGGGTCCAAATTATGCATAAAATGAGTCCACTTTTTGTAAAATGGGTCCAGACTTCTCATATTTAGCCTAAATGGATAAAATTTTAAGAAATGGTCCAGGTTTTTCATATTTTTGAGTAAAATAGGTCAACTTTTAAGAATATGGGTCTACATTATTTTTAAATTTACGCTTAAATTGGGTCCACTCAGATATTTCCATGATTTAAAGTTGTTCAAAATCCTAAAGATGAAATGATATAGAAATTAAGGGGTCTAGTACAATTATAGTAGACACATCAGTCACCAGGAAGGATGTCATACTTGTAATGATCAGTTGTCATGAAAAAGTGGTTGTGTATTTTGAAAAAATCGATTATACAGTATGGGGGTTATGAATTTGAGTGAGATTTGTATTATTTTCAATTTATTTTGAAAAGCTTTGCCTCAGTTTTTGTACCAAGTGTATTTAATGTAGACAATGTTACAATGTATTTAGACAGTGTTTACAATAGTGCTACTGTTAGCAGCTATTTTTATAGATGTAGGCAAGCCATTGTTTTACTCTTCTGTTCCATCCCTGTGCCATTAGTACTTAGTTGGCATGGTGATTCTACAATTCATGTATCTGGTGGGTAATGTTGGCCAGCCTTCAAAGTGTGGATGAGAAGGCAACTGACACAGTACTGATTAGAATCTGTGGTTCCAATTGTTCTTTGTTTATTTTCTCTTTTCAGTTGAGCACATTGAGAGTTTGTTCATGTATAGCAAAGTTCAATTAAATTATATTGTCCTTGTGGTGCAAGTGACAAAAAATAACATTTTTTAAATTAATTTTCTTCCTCCTTATTTTTTTTGCAGAAGCACAGACACAACAAACTGGAACGTATCGTCCTCCTCCCCGTTTCAAGGAAGTGGTGATTAACGGACAAACCATCAAACTTAAATATTGCTTCACTTGTAAAATATTCAGACCTCCACGATCATCGCATTGCAGTTTATGTGACAATTGTGTAGGTATGTATAGTGCATGATATAATTAAACATCGGAAAAAATGCCTTTATTGTTTCATAATAATTTCAGTGGAACTATTAGTAATTTTGTTCACATCCTGGTTAACATAAAGATTAGCATACTGTACTGTAGTGTGACATCCGGGCTAAAAGCAACACATTAACTCTATTTTCAACTACCAATTAAAGGAGTGTTCTCCAAACATTTATCAAACCAAGGTCATTCACTTCTTTTTAAACAAAAAGAAATTAGTATTGTAGTAATTTTGTTTCATATTTGCTTTGTCAGAATTTCAGTTCTGCATTAAAAGAACCAGAAATTACTATATTCTTGAAACTAAGTTTGTTTTCCCATCAGTCAATTAGACCACCGTATATTCCCACACGAATCACTTGCAAGATTGTAAGTATTTGGGAACATACTCAGCATTAAGATAGAACAAAATATCATTTTCTATTAAATCTTACATACACATATCCCATCGGAATAGACTATAGTACTTATAATCAATTTTTTCTTCCTGTTCAACTATGGCATGAGTAAGGCCAAATAAAAAAAATTATAGTGTTGGCCCATGCCCGACTGACCCAAAATGTACGAAATTGAGGTTCGGCATTTTGTTTATTTATTTATTTTTTTGACTACAACGAAAAAAAAAAGGTTCTTTTTAATGAGCTTAAAAAGACTGTCATAGGCATATCTTGCTGGACGGTAAGCGATGCGACAGTGCTGTGCAATAGTTTTGCTCTTCAGTAGAGATTGAAAAATGGTCTTTGTTGTATTTTTGTATATTTTCTACTTTTTAGGCATAAACGCATTATTCCTACCGACCTACCCATTTTGTGGATTCTCCCACAACGTGGCCAACACAAGAATTTTTTTTTTCTTGGCCTAACGTTGGTATACGATACTCACTTAGATTTAAAATGACAAGAATGAAAAATAAACACCTTTAAATACAGTAATTCAATTGAGATTTTTCACTACAGTATGAAAATCTGTGTATTTATTGGCTATAGTATTAGCCAATTTAATGGCCAATGAAAACAGTATTTATGAGGGAAAATAACTTTATTGCATTTCAATTCAAAATTAGTTTATTTCAGTCCATTATACTGTACATTGAAAAGGAGATAAAAAGTAATTATGTTTGTTAATTACATAAAATTGTGTATTTATATCTCTACCTAATTGGTGAGAAAAATATTTTCTCATTACAGTAGAACCCCTCATTTACGTACGGCACGGGCCCAGAGCCCATCGTAATTGCGGGTATTCGTAAAATCGGGGTTGACCCAAATTCCTATATATTTGCACTGGTACTAGCTACTTACACTGGCATAAACTAGGCCTAGGCTAATTATAATAAAAATAACTATCTTTAAGGATGGTAGGTCTTTATAACTGGTGGGAAAGTAACACTAAACTATCAAACTCTTAATGCACCAAGTGTGCAGTATAGTGCATGAATGGAAACAGTATTTATGAGGGAAAATAACTTTATTGCATTTTAATTCAAAATTAGTTTATTTCAATCTATTATACTGTACATTGAAAAGGAGATAAAAAGTAATTATGTTTGTTAATTACATAAAATTGTGTATTTATATGTCCACCTAATTGGTGAGAAAAATATTTTATCATTATTTTGAATGGGAAAGCTAAACTCAACATAAATTATATAAAGTAAGTTATCAACTCTTTAATGTTAAAAGTTCATCAGAGGTACAGTAGGCCTAACTTTAAGGATGGTAGGTCTTTATAACTGGTGGGGAAGTAACACTAAACTATCAAACTGTTGATGAAATTCACCAAGTTTACAGTACAGTGCATGCTACAATAGGCTTCAGGTCCAAAAGTCTTTGCCTCCTGACTCCTACTAGAAGTCACCCCATGGACCCCTACCAGTACACCTAGGTTTCCTTCTGCACCTCTGGCTCTCCCCCTTGAAACGGGCCTGAAGTATGTTTTAATGGGGGGGGGAAATGTTTCCTTGTTCTAGTTCTTAATTGAGTAGTAATTGAAAGTAAACAATTCAAATATTAGATTCTATTTTCAAGTTCATTATATAATTAAAGAGAATGGACACATTTTTTTTTTCAAGGTATAAAAATAAAATTGTAAGTAGAATACCATTTACAGTAGTAACTCCTCAAATACGACTTCATTAGTTTTTAATCTTTAATTATGAAAATATTATGGTGAAAATGATAATGATTTTTACATGATTACTAAAGCTTTTACCATACTTTGAAATTACTGTACAGTAGGTAAGTAATCACATATTGTAGTAAGTCTGGTCCTTAAAATATCTTAATTTTGAAAAGTCACAATAAAAACACAATGTCCTTGTTGTATTTCTCCTGATTGATATACCATTATTGCAAAAATCTTATTTTATAACTTCTTGGAATAACTTGTTTTTACAAGCAACATTTCAAAAATACAATTACCTTAATAAGGAAGAATACAGTGTTTTTAGCTGGTAGAACCTAGATTCTTTATCACACTTTCATAATGATTGATGAAGGCACACATTATGGCAGTAATCCTAACATGAATGATTCGCTATGCAGTATTAAATAAAATGGCCAATGGTACAAATAATTTTAAATTCCTTCATACCAGTACTTTCATTTCAGATTTCTCCATAAAAAAAATATTACGAGAAAAATATATAAAAAAGTATAGAAGATAATAAATAAACTACAAAACAGCACTAAATAAATGTTCAAGTGTCTCATCCAGGATATGATAATGTCACAATAATAGTGGGCCATACAATTATACGCTAATTCTAAACATTATAACAATTGTATTATTTTGATATATTGTTCATATCTTTTTTATTATATTTTAGTTATCAAATTTATTGTGAAAATTGTAATTTATTTTATGTTTGGATAAAACAGATGGAAATAAAACAATCAAAGTATTGCATTGTATTTCTAGGAAGGTCTAGACATAAGTGATTAATATTTATTTTATTTATATATTCAGGAATGAAATATTAATGTAAATATAGCCAACGGTACATGGCTGATATGATTGCATTCAAAATGAACACTAAACTTAAAACAGGATGAAACAAATCCAAAAAGCAGTTGCAACTAAGCATTACACAATGCAAACAGAATACATTGTATTTATCTTATATAAAAGGCTATAAAAAAAAGGCTATAAAAAATATTGTAAGACATGAAATGATCTAATAGTGCAATATAAGTTGATATACAGTAAAGTTGTCAAGTGTCGCATGAGATTATATACATTTCAATTGAAAGGTCGTAGGTTAGAGTCCGATGCGGGCTACAAGAAGGTGTCCTTGAGTTATATGCATGTGACTATCTAGTAACCTGGTACCTTTTGAATGTTATTGTAAGAGCTGTTTTTTACTACTGTAGCCAGAACATTATTATATGCTTGCCCCTAGGGGCTGCATTATAGTAAAGTGTGTGTTCTTTGGGCATTCAATCAAATGATTGGTGGTACAGTTTAAAGTAAATTGCTTAGAGGTCTTGACATATTATATGTAGTGAACAAGCCATTATTTTCAAAAATGATTTCCGTAATAAGAACACCTACACAACTACTTATAGTGAAACTAATTTGTAGAACCGCAGATAATGTTGGTAAAAAGCCATTAATGTTATCTGGAACTTTTCGTTTATAATTACCTTTTTACCATGTATAATTAATCCTATAATGTGTATGCACATGGTCTAAAATATTTCAATAAACACATTAAATGAAGTTTAGAAACATTGTTTACATGCTAAACACTACTAATTCATTTGCATTTTTAGCTGCACAACACAAAATAGTGTTAGTCGTTAAAAATATGACCTGAGGTCAAACCACGGTGTATACCGTAGCATTCAAATTCAGTGATTGTGCATATTCAAATTTTATGTGGTTTACAGCTGCTATATTATTACTTTTGGGATGGAAGAAACATTGGAGTGTCAGAAATTTTTAGGGGGTTAAATTCAAATAGAAGGTTTTGTCGAGCCAATAAGTACCGACATGAAGAAGGAATTTTAAGGTTGGTATGCTGGGCAGATGTAGGATTCGGCAATGGAGCTGGTGCATGACTGATAAAATAGAATGTTGTGCCTTCTAGATGCTTGGAAATGCTTAAAATTTAAAAAGTTTCTCTAATTGTCTTATGATGATTCAATCTACGGTAAATAAACTCTCAGCCCCAACTAAGGTAAATTATTATTATGGCAGGTAGTTATGGTGGGTGAGGCCACCCAGTCTAAAGTTACTTTAATTTCTTAACCATTCACCCAATTTTATTAACTCCTTGCCCATCCTTAAAATCCACTCTAACTAGAATTTTACCAATGTTATCACCCATCCACCTTTAAAATGTTTTAACAGTCTACAACTTTGATATGGCTGTCTGACATCAACACATTTTAAATATATGGATGCCTGGAAATATCAATTGATTAAAAGTTGTTCTAATTATCTTTATGATGTGATTTAATGTGAATTTGTTCACAACCATGATAAATGCTCACTCGTTTACTGAAGATTTTCGACAATGACCACCCAATGATAACTGTTTTTCTCCAACGACGACAGGGAGACACTGTTTAATACATTCAATTAGAAACGATTATAAATAATCTGTTTAAATTGTTTGCATTACCAGTAAAAACTGGCATTTAATGTTCCACCTATCAGATTTGAGGAAATTATTTGTTGTGATATTGTGGAAGCATTTGGCACAGCGATTCAGGGTTAGACTGTCAACCTAGTGGTCAGAGGTTAGAGCCCTCATTGTGGGAGTTGCTTGTGTTTTTCAACAAGCCATTTGTCTCTCTACCCCTACCCAGCATATGCTGGGAAAATAAACAGACTTGCTGTGGAGGAGGAGTGGCCATCCCCTCGCAACATTGCTCTATGGCACCTAAAGATCTCATAAACACAAGATAGCGTTCTCTGTGATTTTTGCGTTCAAATTCTGTGATAACGCATGAATGGCGCCCTCTTGCAAAATTGAAAACTTTTGAACCTTGACAGCTCTGACCATAGCGTATGCCATGCGTAACAATTAGAAGCGTCCGATTTACAATGCGCCCTCTCTTTAAAACATAAGGAACAAATTAACGCACTTGGTAATGAACTTATGGCGTAACACGAACACCCTATATCAGATCCATAGAAACGACTAGGACGCCCTCTCCCAAAACTAATTACTTTTCTGTTCCAAATCGAAGCTTCTATTTGTTACGTGTAAGTCGCGGAGAACGCTATCTTGTGTTTATAAGATCTTTGATGCCACCAACGTTAAAGAACGAGGAATGGGCACTCCAGACATGTACAGGTTCGACTACATTTACCGTTAAATTTATACTAATAATAATAATAATAATGTTAACGCAATACATGGGCCTTCTTAGGTTAATTTTTTTTTCTAATCATTTTTTGACTTTTTTTTTTCATACAGTGTTTAAGTCTCTTAAAATAATTTCACTATATGTATACGAAAACTAGAGATTAGCCTGTAAAGTGGTGCCTTCTTCATCGTTTACGTGGTTGTTGATTTATCTGACTGTAGCCACTCATGGTTATTTTTATATTTTGTTGATCCTCTTGCTAAGCCTTACGATGCAGCTTTACTGTAGGTTAGTGTTTGATAATTTATTTCCCTCATAGGGAGCTATACGCAACTGGATGAAGTTAATGATTGATTGATAAAATTTATTTACTAAGTATCTTTTCAAATAAAGTAAACATCACATAAACAATTTGAGAATGTCGGTTGTTGTCACAGTACTTTTTTGTCTGATCATACTGTATGACATTGTTTGTATCTGACTTTTTTGGATGTACTGTACTGTAGATGCAAGCATGGTTTTCTTTCCTCCATGATGCAAGCTACTATTTTAATAGTTATCATTAATTAATGTTTTTTTGGTTTTTTTTATCTTCACAGAAAACTTTGACCACCACTGTCCGTGGGTTGGAAATTGCGTTGGCAAAAGAAATTATCGATACTTTTATCTATTCATAGTTTCAACTACAATTCTAAGTATTTTTGTGTTTGCCTGTAATGTTACACATTTGGTTCTTCGTAAGTACTGTACATGGTGTTAATTTATCAGTTTTAAATTATTTATAAACCTGTTATCTACTTCGATATATTGGTTTTAAAATATAAAATAGATTGTTTATGTATTAGAAATATTCATAATTTTAATAGTGAATAAGAAAAGTTTATATTTTTATTTTAAATGCATTATATATTCTTAATTTTCTCAAATAATAGTAAGAATTGTTGAATTTATTAAATATTGAAATTTACAGTGTTTGTGTATTATTTTTCATAATATTCAAATTATGCATCGATTTTTGCATGTATTTTTTTTTTATATTGTTGTGCATAATTTTGGTTTAGATTTCAATGTGAGCATCCACCAGTTTCGATTGTAATAAATTGACATGTTTTGATTTATATTTGAATACAGCCTTCTCTTATAGTGTCCCTGATTTATTATAGGAATGTACTTTATGGCAGTGTAAATATTATTAGCACTTTATAGGCTCGCATTATACTGTTAAATTTTAATTCTCTCCAAAAAATCAATTTCGGAAACTAGTATCTATTTTTTGAATGCTATTTACCTCGATAATCCAAGTTCCCTGAACAATACTTCCCATAGTAGACAAATGTTAATGAGTAGTCGGTGTGATTTAGGCCATTCTGTTATTAGGTCATGGTGGGATGAGTACTTTCATTAGAGTCTGTGTGATTTAGGCCATCCTATTGGGTCATGTCAGGATGAGCACGTTCATTAATTTTTTTTATATGCTGCAAGTACAACAGTCTGATCTGTTTTAACGCTTTTGTACTTTATTTTATCAAATTTTAGGGGGAAATTAATCTTGCAACAAGTTGATAGAAGAGGCTCTCTCTCCAAAAATTCAATTTCTGTCCATAGTATACAAGTCTGAAAAAGTGGAAATTAATATTTACGATTGAAATCAATTGGTTTTTAATTATATGAAAAGAACATTTTAATTTATTTACTGTACAATTATACTATTAAATCTCTTTCTTTTATTTATATACTTTTAGGTAGTCAGGAGGGAAGTTTTTTAGATGCTATTAAATATACACCTGCAAGATATCCTTTTCTGTATTGAACTGTACAGTAATAAGCAAATTTATTACAATTGTTAAAATAATACAGTTACTGTAGAACTGTTAATTAATAAACCAAGCACAATTAATGTAAACTTCCTGCAAGCATTCAATCAATTGTGCGTGATTTATTATCATTGAAACAGTTCTACACTCATTTAATACGCAAACCAGATAAAACTATAGTATTCGTGTTATCATAAAAGTTGACTTAATTATTCAGTAACTAGTGCTAACCATTCTGTCTAAACTAAACAGGTCAGTTTCGGTATCAAGTTCAAAATCATTGTATCCAACTTTCGCAATACCGTCTGCGCCTGCTTAATTTACTCAATTCATCATTGATGTCCAGTGCAGTAGTCATACAAAACATATACTTTGTACACCATCTCTGAGAGAAAATTGAAGCTATTTTGGTCCCGTGTATACATACACGTTTATAAATGTATACTCATTGGGAGGTTTGAATTGTTAGTAGGGATTGTCTCCTGCTAAGATATCTAGGTATATTTTATCGATCATGTGCCAATAGAATATGTTGTTAAATCAGGCATAGACTAATGCTTATTCATACCTCAAACTATAAAATTTTCTTTGACAAAACGCTGATTGTGTACCCATATATAGTCATGATGTGCCTATATATGGTCATGATGTGATGTCATCATGACCATATTTAGGTATGTCTCAATTTTTTGTCAAATAAAATTTGATAGCCTAGATAGGACTCAAGACATCTGATCAAACATGTGTCTTTCCATGTCTGTTAGAAATTCTGGCTTTGTTTGCTTACTACCCAACAGTCCCAGCGTAAGGGTTCACATGATATAGGATTTATTACTTTATTAGTTCCTTTGTGACCTTAAGGTCACAAGGAACTAATGGGATAATTCGAACATGAAATGTATGTGTGTGTGTGTGTGTGAGCAAAGTGAGCAGCGGGTTTGTAAACGAATAGGCTCATAAACGGTGCCTCACGGTGGGTATAATGTTTTCCTCATAGTAACTGGTGGACATGTAGTTGTGCAAGAATTGTTTGTTTTTAATGTTAGATGAGAAATGTAGGACGTACGCGATAAAACATATACCCCCTACCACCATTTTTGAGTCGTTTTTAGGAGAAAACTTCGATATGCGCATGCGTTGGTAAAACTTTGCCGACATTTTGTTTTTCATCGCGAGAGGGTAAGCGAGCTCCATAATGCATACCTTGTTGGTGTAGTTGACCAATTGTTTACGGAATCGTCGGTAGGGTTAGGCCAGCGACAGTAAACAACAAAGTAATTTACAAGAATTGGGCTTTGTGTCTAAATTTATGGCGACCAATATCAGTTTTAAGCAATTTTAAGAGTTTCAAGTCGGCAGAATTCGGAGACAATTCCTTTATTTTTTGAGCATTTGTTAAATTTATCGACCTAGGCAAGGCCTGCTAGGCCGACTTACCCAATCTTCAGACCCTGGGACATCACCCGGGAAAATTCGTGTACGCGAAGTTGGGCGTAAAGTCGGTGTGGGATTCTACCCGGGGTACTATGGTAATATTTTATAGCAGTAGTGACTGAGAAAGTTTTCTCTATTGTTGAAAAAACAAAACCAAGCTTCGAGCTATCATGACAACAAAAACTTAAAGTGCTTTAATGACACACAAGCTGGAAATGTTGAACAGAGATTAAGTGTCATTCGAATAAATATTGACGTTATGACTCCAATGAGATCCAGCGAAACAAGCAACATACCGTGCCCTTCATGGTGAAGTTTGTAAGCCTACTGATTAAAATGTAACTTAAATATTTTTTCTTGGTTGTGAGGTAAATAAACAGTACACTTGAAATTAAGTAACTCTGGTTTTGTTTGAAGCAACTGTACAGGAATTAGGATATAATTGCCATCTTAATTTTTTTGTCACCAATGAATAGCGTCCCTATTTTTGATATTCGAATGTTTGCAGGTATGTAAATATACAGCATTTGATGGACGGATCTGTCTGGGGGTATAGGTTTACGTAAAAACATTAGAAACCATTACTGGACTACATATCCCTCTAAACTACGTTTACGTACAAAGGAACGTACACACCCGCAGGGTTCTGGTATTGTTGAATCTAGTGCATACCCAGCCTTAGTAATTCTCTGTTCGCGATACCTGATATTTGGATCCATATATGGATATAAATATGACATCTGTATGCCCATATATGGATAGATGTCAGATTTTGGTCACCAAAAAATGTATTGATGTGGACAGAGTTTTAGACTTGTGTTGTTGGATTTATTGTAGGAAGTCATCGAGTATGACACTTGAAAGTGAAACTGAACCTCACAAAGCCATCATCTAAATTAATTAAGTAATATCTCATTACTTCCCTTAAGTCAACTAACGTTATAAATGTCGGTTTGATGGACAGAATTGTAGTCTGCAAATTCATTTATAAAAAGAGCAGGACAGTTCTCACCTTCGTTACATCCATCTAAGAAATTTATGTTAATGTTTACATCAATAATTCTGAGTTGATCGAGTCTCGCTCTTCCTCAAATGCATATCTTCCGTCCATCAATAGTGATGACTTCAACTGAAAATAAAATTTTGGCATGTTTGTTAGCATACCCATTGTGTGAAAAATCAAAATTTCAGGAAAAATTTGTTGTCAAATAATTTTTATCCTGTCAATCTTTTTATCCTGTCAAAAATTATTATTATTATTATTATTATTATTTATTTATTTGTTTATTTTTTTATTTATTTATTTTTTCCTTAAAATTTAATAAATAATACTGTACCTAGTACCAATCTGATTACTGAGCTGTTTTAAAAATCTAAACATCACAAGGTATTTACCACCACACTGTAGGATCTTCAGCAAAGGCCTTTGGGGTGCTGTTGAACGTAAGATAACCCAAACTATACCCCCACTATAACCAACCTCTCCTCTCCCCCCCCCCTCCCTCTCCCACCACAAGAGCCCTTCTCATTGCCCCTTGGCATCCTCAGCAGGGGTGGATTCCAAATTTTTCAACTTGGGCAGGGATATGGGAACGTATTTGTATTCCATTTTCTCTTATTGCAATATACAAAATGTAGTGGCAAAACGGGGAACATGCCCCTAGCCCCCATCCTCAATTGGATTCGCCTGTGCCCAGACCTCCATCTCTTATGAAAGACCCAACTTGATTAATCCTATTTGTGGGCCTGTCTTTGCAACATAGCATTTTAATGGCTTCTCCCAATCAGATTATTAAGTGATAATATGTATATATCTGTTGAATCCCTAGTGGATTGATTAGTAGACATATGAAGAGTACAGTAGTCACAACACATCATAATTGTGCTCGGCCGTTCCATGTTCCAAAGCAAAACAACGTAAACTCAGCAAAAATATAATAAGAGTTATGTTGTTAAATTGCCATGGGACGGCTGTGATTTCAATCTTTTAGTTCGCTTCATTACTTGCTTTTAGATTTGCATTTTTATATTATGAATAAAAATAGAACATAGTGGATTTTTTTTTAATTGTGCGAGATGCTCATTTGAAAAGCACTATTCACATTTATGTGACAAATGTCTGTCATTTGTTTATATGGTGGGATATGACATCAGTGGTAAAACTACTGATATTTGTCACATAGAACCAGATACGAAGAGTAATATTCTGTATGTGAAGAATATATAAATTATAATAGGTTTACAGTATGATACAGTATCATATTATTATAACATATTATTAATATTAGTTTAATATCTCTTGCTTCATAATTGCTAACAGTAGATAGCTTCAATACTGATAATCATATATAATATGTTCATTATAATACATAATGATAAGTAATAATAACAATTTATTTCAGTTAATTGGTTTGTACTTGTTTAAATTACTTATGTATTATTTTCTGTTGGTTTACATTGTATTGTTTGTTTGTTTTATAATTTGCTATGTATTTTCCTTTTCTGGTTTGCACTTTCTTTTTCTTTTAGTTATTTTGTTTATGGTCGTAGTTTTGGTATGCATTTGTTATTCTCATTCATTTATTGCACTGAAATCTGATACTGCAAGTATTTGCTTTTCTTTTTTGTTTCCTTTGAAATCATTTTTGTATTATACTTTTTAAGTTCTGGCTAAACTATCAAATGTTATTTGAAAAAAAAAAGTGATATGCATAAATATGGTCATGATGACCTCACATCATGACCATATATAGGCACATCATGACCATATATAGGCACATCATGACTATATATTGGGATAATTCTTTTTGAAGTATGGATTCCTTGACTTGATTCTCACTGCCATTCAGTCTGTAATCTGTTTTATTTCTGTGTGGTCAGTACTAGGATTAGCCGGCTTTCACACGTTCCTTGTAGCCTCCAATCAAACGACCAATGAAGATGTGAGTGCTTTATTCTGAGCATGTCAATCAGCTGTTGCTATGCCTCCTATTGTTGATGTTTGTCCCCATGATATTGTAATGTTATCTGTTTTTTGTTTTGTTTATGTTGTATAGATGCATGGTCGGTGACCGCATAATTATTTAAATGTGGCAGTTGACGACAGAGCTATGGATTTTTTTTAACGGACAGATACAAATAAAAGCATGTAGTCATCTTATAAAAGAGAGCAACTTTAACATATGTCCGTATTTCCTCGTTGTTTGTCAACGTTTGTTGTGATTTGTAGCTTTGTATCCATATTGGTGCAGATTGCATTATACATGAATTTTGAATAATTGGTAGCTTATTTGTTAAAATCTTCTCCATTTTATAATAATACTCCATCTTTCTTTTGATATTATCCTCTCAGTAATATTCCATTCACGAGAGTGCATAGGCGTTAACGCCACTGAATCTATTGGTTTTTATATACCTTTCACCCTTATTCCTTCATACTGTGGTGGCACATTCAAATGCATGGTGTGGTATTGATAATGTTATACCGTGACTGGCACAATGTGGAATATCCCTTTAGTGCCTTTTTTGACTACATGTACTTCCATCTTTTTACAGAATTTATTTTTTATGTATATAATTAAATTTTTCTTCATAGCAAAATTTAATTATATTGTGTTAACTAGTACAGAATACGGTTTACGTATAACTCTGTATTGATGTCTTTCAACTTTACAGAAGCTACTGATTAAATTTTATAGCTTGCTAGTCTATTTCTAACAAAGCCTCCCTGTACTAAACCTTTTTTGTAATCATCAGCATTGTACATTATATCGTAGTAAATTTTTTTCAGTTGTATTGTGTCTTCAATTTTAATGTCCTGTATCGATGTAGTCAATTTTAAAGATGAGTATATCACCAATGTTTGAAGAACAGAATATGATCAATAGAGGACACTCTTCATTTTTGCTTTAAAATTACTAGTGCATCATTGTGATAATTACAAACTAAATTGTTGCCTATTATTAAAAGCTCTGTTCTCGCTATCAATTTTTTTATAATTTTATGTAATTTGCACATATACAGTATGGACATGATGATGTCATCACATCTGTATAATGTATGATGTTGTCATAGTCCATATATGGGCATAATGATGTCATATCATGGCTGTATAGGTAAAGCACATGTATTTCTCACATACAATTTAATAGTGTTGACTATCAAATTTTCTTTGACAAAAAAACTGTTGCAATGTTGCATGTCCATATATAGTCATGATGTGCCTATATATGGTAATGATGTGATGTCATCATGACCATATTTTGGCAAGTCACACGTTTTTTTTATAAACAAAAACGTGTGTGGACAGGGCCATTGGCTGCCTTTGGTATAGTAAAGCATGAAATACAGGAGATTTTCCTTGACCACTGTGTACTTTGATAGAGGCTGTAATATCCTTTGGTGCTGTTTGGTCAGTTTTTGGTCTAGCATCCTTTCACACATACCTTGTGTGTAAAAGTCAGACAACCAATGAAGATGTAAGTGAAAAAAATTAAATAATAAAAAGATAATACAAATAAAAATGGACTTCCAAACTGGTATAGGTATTTACATTGTGCTTCCACATACAATACTGGAAGAATAAATCAATAACTAAATATAATATACAGTAGTACTTTAATGTATTTGTATTGAAGTTCAATATATTTGCTATAATGCAGCCAAGTAGGTTTCAATAGCAGTAAAGATTTTCTGTTAGAATTACGTGACCTACTTAGTATAATTGTAACTGTAGTGTTAAATATTCACATAAACACTTGAACCATAAAATGCCGGAAGGTTTAAAGAAGTGTTTTGGATGCATAATGCCTTCAGGAAGTACAATACTTCCCAAATAAAAAGAAAACCTTTAATAATATGAGACACAGTATTATTGAGATTACTTTTTTTATATAAATGTAGAGAAATAAATTTACAGATTATTGAGGATATGAAATCTAGTTTTGACAATGTAGAGTTGTTTTCATTTTTATATTGAAATTGTTAATTAAAATATTGTTATGTAGTGAATGGTATGTAATTGTATAGTACCGATGCTTCCTTTTGTTTTGATTTTGTAGATAAAAGGAACGTGGTCAACGAAACGACAACGTGATAACTTCAATCCGTTCAGTCACGGAAATGCAATTAATAATTGTTGTGTGGTACTCTGTGGGCCCATGCGTCCCAGGTGAGTGGAAACTGTAATGCTGTCAAATATTCAGCAATTACGATCTCAATTACACTATTAATATGCCTGCAAGTTTGTTACCGGATAACCCTGGGAGAATCTGTCGTCTAGTTTTCAATTGCTAAACGTAGATTCATCAATCCGTACGGAAATTATTCCATGGAGCAGAATAAGATAAACTACCATTTGTTTAATTGAGGAGTGATGAGAGTCCATAAATAATATAACACAATAAAGAAGTTACGGTACAGTCGGGTGATTATTAGATCAATGATCCCAAAATCAATAGGTAGTGAAACATACCTGTGAAATGCAGTCGTCATTGCAATTAGACAGTCCCTCAAAGCTAATCTCTACAGCTTCCACTTTGCGTACTAGATTTGTAGACATCTTTATAGCCCATGGTAATAGATGAATTGTGTGGCTTATGTGAGTACTTGAATCACATAAAGTTTACTGGGTGTTTCAACATAATTGTGCATGTTAAATTTTGAGATTTTCGTCAATATCAAGTGCTATCTTGTCTTGTATCCCATTTACAATAATTTTTGCTCTATAAAATTGTTTCTTGTTATATTCTTCAATAAAGTGTTTGTAAATTGTCTACAAGATAATTCATATTTTTGCGTATAGGACAGAATCACACCCTCCAATCCATGTGTTGACACATTAAGCCTCTCACGTTGAAGTTGGCCGACAAATCTGTCCACAAGGGCTTGTCCGCTGTCCTTAAGTGTATACTAAATATTGACAGTTATTGGGTTAATGATGTTTTAGCTTATTGATGCACTCATGAGACTTACCAGTAACAAAATTCTGTAACAATGAATATAACTTGAAACTGTTTTGTTTATTTACAGTTTGCTAGATCTTAGAGGTTTCTACGTCCCAGATGCAAACGAGAGGACACAAGGTACCCAATTAGAGCAAGTAATACAACGAATACCCGGCCCATTGCCCCCGATGAAGGGCGTAAGTATCATGCATCATTCGGTGTTCTTGATTGGTTGGTCCAGGTCATGTGATTGTAATACTGTATAATGCCTAACCCTCTCTGCATGCACTTGTCTAAAACCAAAGCTTGTAGTTCAGCATGTCACACAGCAATTTACCACTTTACAATTTATATTCTTTCTATTTATTTTCTTATTGTTTGTTATCTTTTTCTTATGAACTTTAGGACTGTTGATTTATAAATTTATGTGGTATAGGCATGAGTGAATGCATTTTGTGGTGTGTAACCGCATCACTTTGCTTGTCTTTTTTATTATCTACATTATTGGTTATTTTGAAAACAACTCTGATGTAATATTATGTTATCAAATCTTGGTTATAAAAAATTATGCATTTTTATGCTACATATTTGCTATAGTTCTTAATAATAATTATGATGTACTTGTCGTTCTTGTAGTTTCAGGTTTATATATTATTTATTATTCAAATTGCATGTCACACAGCAGTTCAATGGTTCCGTACTATGAATATTGCATGGTATAACATGCTGGAATAAAGGTCATCTAATTGGCTGATGCTTACAATGACCTACTGTACACACATTACCGTAGTATACCTGTCAACTATGTTGGCGTCTGATGCGCGAGACAAAAAAAAGAAAATTTGTATATTCCACCCTCTTTGTAAAAATCATGAAAAATAGAGTGCCCTCTATGTAATTTTTAAAAATTGTAGGGGTGGAACCGTTACTGATTACAGTCGTTGTTCAGTATAGCTTCGTTAAAAGAAAGTTATATAGCCTGTATTCACATTTTAGTGACAAATTCACTTCATTTTTATGGATTTTAGGGTATAATCAGTTTATACATTTTATCTTTTATACAAATTTTATGATGCGTGAGATAATACAATGTGGGCGTGATACGTAGAAAGTGGATGCTCATGCATCATGTATGAGAAAAATGTATGCACACAAGTAGTGCATGCATGCAGTATGTTAAATATATACTACTAGTGTTCAAAACTTATACACAGACTAAGGACAGGTGCACATGTTTGAGACTTGCATGCGCTTGGAGGTCTTTTTTGGTATGATAAATATACTGTATAACAGAACAGGAAAGAAGCACTCTTGCAATACTGTTGTAGAGGTTTAAATATTAATATTGAATGATTTTGTATTAATAATAATGATATATTTTTCTCTTTTGTTGGGTAACCCACGTATATATTCAACAGTGTTTTCTTTACTCATGGCAACTTTACACTCCGTGAACTGAAGCTATTAAGCTGGCATTGTTATTGCAAAACATTACATAAAAAAAGACAAAAAGTTATAGTTTAAAAAAATCTGTTAAAAAAGAAAAATTAATTACAGTAACTACTGTACATTTGAACAAACCTATTATTAAATATACTATTACTATATATACTTATTAAATTTATTAGAACTTGTTATTAACTACACTTTAATTTAACTTATTATGACCTTATATATACTTATTAAATTTATTTAAACTTATTAACTACGCTTATTAAACTTATTAAGATTTAAATTATTATTAACAGTACTTATTAAACTTATGAAAACTGTTTATTAACTACACATATTAAACTTAATATTAACTGCACTGATTAAACTACATTACTTGAACTAATCTTGTTATGTTACCATGTTACCAAGATTGCTGAGGCATGTAAATGGATACTTTTTTTAATATCTGATGCCATTTTTAATGTTTTTAGGAGGAAGGAGGTTATATGAACCCACTGTGGGTATTGAAGAAACAGAGTGCAAAATTTCCCAAGGTATTGCATGGGGAATGTTGAATGAGGCTCTTAAGTAGTTTGTTCAATGCACAAGACCATGGAGTGAGCAACACTGCTTACTCCATGTGAAGTATTAAAGCATGGTTCGTTTCTGAATCACAATGAAGGGTTAGTGATCACAAAGCGCACTGGTAGATAGCGATCACGATATAAACAGTTGGTAGTGTCCGATTTATAAGTTGTGATTAAGTTTAAGGGGAATTAGCTAGTGATCTTGATACAGGAAGAATGATAGCTAGGGATTGTCATTCACAAGGAGTAGTAGTGATGATAATTCAAGAAAAGTGGTAGCTTGCGATCGCAGTAAATGAGCAATTTAGTTGTGTCCACTATTCAGAAAATACGATAGCTAGTGATCACAATGCAGGAAAAATGATAGCTAGCGATCTTAATAAAGCATAGTTGTGACAAAGGAAACATAGCTAGTGATCTTGATACAGAAATAAGGTAACTTGTTAAAAGGATTCAGGAAAAAATGATAGCTAGGTACTCACGATACAGGAAGATTTGAAAGAAGAGCAATAGCATTCAGAGTTTAGGGTAATCCCTAGTGATTAAGATCCTGGAAGAATGATGGTTATCTGGCAAAAGGAAGAATGGTAGCCAGTAATTTAAGACAATACATAATGTTAGTGATGTTTAGGCAAATTCAGACAGTATTAAAGTGATGCTTTAGGCAAATGATCAATATAGAGTGATCACTATATGAAGAAGAACGGTAGCTGGCAATAAATCTATTAGATTAGATGGAAACCATAGCAACTATAATTTAGGCAGAATGTGCTAGTGATCAGCAAATTCAGAGGGGAAAGATTCCGTATACTAGAATAATATTTGCAAAGTGTACACTTATATTACAGTTTCCATGCACATATGATTAATAGCTTGACTATCTGTCCTATTTTAATATGGGCTGTTTGATGCAATAGTTTGTACTGTAGAACAATTAAGAATGTTGATTCTATAATAATGGCATGTTATTATAATAGACAACAATAGATTGTAGTAAAAAGGATATTTGGAGAAATCCTTTTATAGGAGATTTAAGTGTGTTTGTCTGAATCAGATTACAATATTGCCAGAGATAATGAGCATATAGTGCTTTAGCATTAGATTTTCTATAATCTAATGCTCTGTATACTGTATAGCAAGCTGTACAGTAAAAGGTTTCTGTGTTAAATATCTATGATTTGTCCATACTGTATAATGGCGTGATGATGTCATATTTCACCTTGTGTAAATCACAGGTATTTGTTACATACAATTTGATTATTTGTGAACAATGTTTTTAGAATAAATTGAGCATCATGTAATTGCCATTGAGCCATTATCCTGGAGTCCTAAAGGTCTGTCCACACATTTTTTTTCATTTCATTTCATTTCTTTAGGCACGAGGGCCAAGGATATGCCAATAAGTGAACTTAATCACTGTCCTACGTGGCATATCCATTTAACAACAGGGGACTTAATGGACCAGCACACCGGGGTAACCCCCTACTCTTCTCGAATGATGTACCAAGTTCTTTAAAGTTCACACAAGCCAAATGCGTACACTGGGCCTACAGTTTAAAGTCCTTATCCGAGAAGACTTGTTCCACCACCGGAACCATTGGCGAGTGAGCCGTTCGAACCAACGCCGATATTAGAGCTGAAGGTCACGGTGCCCCTGACTTAACCGCTCGGCCAATCAACTCGCTCTGCACACACTATCAAATTTTATGTAGCAAAAAAAAAACAACAAACTGATATACCCTTATTTGGGTGTAATATGACATCATCATGTGCACATCACACAAATTTGTCACATAAAATTTGATAGTGTGTGCAGAGCTGTGTGATGGTTGGATTTTGTAGTTTTCTTGATTCTTTGGTCAGTTTTAAGTATTTTTATACATTATGTATTTTACTTCTTTTTTCCAAGTCTGAAGGATTTCTTGAAAGTATCAGCAGTATCAAAATCATATTAATATAATCTCTGTTCATACTTAAAGTTTCCTGTGACAAATACCTAATTTATGGGCAAGTCAGGTATTTGTCACACAAAATTTGATAGTGTGGACAGATCTTTATAAAGGATTACCTGTGTTTGATGAGAATACAATAAGAAAACCAGTCAGAATACGGTTGATTACACATTTATATCAGATAAACAAGATCAGCTTTGAGGAAGGCAGTAATTATTAATAATGAGTTTGAGTGATGACGAAGCATGGCCCTTCACTAACAATTGTCCCTGCTATTAAGCACTTGTACATAACATGGCAAGTCTTTATGCAGTAGTTAATTAGCCTCTTCCCAAACAAATGTCCACTCATAAACAAACCGTCATGCTTAATAATTAGATTTCATAGTGGATTTAATACGGTAGTATTTAGAGATCAACCGACATTGATTTGGATTTTTTCACTTTATTTTTACTACACAATTTTCTGCTTCTTGCCTTACTGTACATGACTGAGTAAACGCCTTTCATTTAAGTTCTGCTCTATAGTATGTAGGTGCCATTGTCGAATACTGTACTATTACTCAGCGATGTGTAGAGTTATAGTACTAAGAGTGTATCATACATATTTTATACATATATAATTACTGTATATTGCAACGATTCAGCTAGGCCTATGTACACACACGGTACCAATTAACACTCCCAATAATTTGTGATAAGTGCACTCTCAAATATTAAGGGCCTCTCTTGAATAAGCACCGCACAGAAGCCTGCAAAATGTTTATATGGGCCTCTGCACTTATTTGGTCTTCTATGTGTATGTATGTCATTGTGCTAGCGTCGGATGAGAATAATGCATAATTTCTTCTAATAATTTCTTTTAATATATGTTGCATCTGATGCATTAACCTATATTCCTGTGAGGACCATATACACAACATATTGTGGTTATTAAAATATCTTCAGCCATTTCGGCCCTTAAACTTTCAGCCCGTTTAAGGGCCGAAATGGCTTGTACAAGATATTTCAATAAGCACAATATTTCTTTAATAATTTACTATATACAGTGTAGCAAAATATAACTTTTGATATTTCTTTTGCATATTAGTATTATTTATGCATCATTTCGAATTAGGCAGGAGGGGGAAAGTGCTGCATTTTTACGACATGTAATATCATGTAATATTTTCATATTAAACGTATTTTCCCTTTGAGAATGCTAAGCATTTATAACATATATCTTTTATCTTTGCTTGCTATCATTTTATAGTGTATTTTATAAATTCATTTTATTTATTTTATCTGCTTGTCTTGCTTGTTTACTTTGCATTTTTGAATCAGTCCACATTGTTATACAGAAGAACATACCATAAAACCTCTAATAGAAGCCCAATGGGCTTAATCTCGAGAAGAAGCCGATCTCGAAAAGAAGCCCCCTCTTTAGTTTCCAAAAGTAATCTCGAAAAGAAACCCATCTCGAAAAGAAGCCCATTTGAGGGTCCTAAAAAAAGCTGATCTATTCCAAGTTTTACAGTAGTTCGCATTTGTGCTAAAGAAATATTTATTTATTACCTAAGTAAATATATTATACACATTGTTCAGTGTCATTTTTTATGTTTTTGTAATTTGCAGTTCTAATTTTTCTAAATTAAGATGTACTTAACATGGTAAAGTCATACTTAACCTAGTTAAGGGTGTACTTAACCTAGCTAATTAATGGGTATTCGTAGAATGATTGATTTTATGATGTACCTGAACATGATTGCTTATTTCATTATTAAATATTACCTACTTATTCAAGTAATAATGATGCACAATCTGTAAATACATCACATGTTCTGTAGCATCTATAACTTTTACATAATGACGATCTTTGCGATATATATTAAGTATAGTCAGGTAATGGAATACTTAAACCAAGTTAGGAAAATTGTATTTACTCATAGCCAAAGGTAATAGCGAAGATTTTCCCATATTAAAATGAATATTGGTAGAATAATAATAATAATAATAATAATAATGATAATAAATAAAAAAATAAACAATAATAAAATAATAATAATAAAATAATAATAATAATAATAATATAATAATAGTGATAAGTGGAGTTGAATATCCTAGGTGGTTAAAGTGATTGCCTTCTAATACCAGGGTCCTGTTTTCAATTCTGTCACAGCAGGACTTTTTCTGACAACCGAATACAACTCCACTCCTAAGCCTCAATAAGAGGCTTTTTTTTATAAAGCATCATTGCATCCTAAAAGTGGCGAGTGTATTTGCTGTTGAATATGAAGGAAATTTTTAAAAATTAAATATTTTAATATGATATTGTGCAACATTTATGCATGCTAAACACAAGACAGGAAAAAGAAGAAATAAAATATAACAACAGATAAGGAACATAATGAAAGAAAGTAGAACAGAAACTGCATTCTTTTATAAGCAGGCATGCACACCAGCAATCAAAGCACAGAAATGAATGTAGTAAAACCATAAGCAGACTATATGTTGTTTTGAATTAAAGCAAATACAGTATGAAAATGTTGATTTGATAAAGCTTGGGTAATTCAACCATTGTATGCACGTATGCATGTGTCTGTGTATGTTTGTATTTACAAACATACCACTATTATGTAGCACAACTGCATTTTAAAGTTTTTTTTAACAGTATTAGGGATCAGTTTGAAACTGAAACTTTAAAAATGTTTATTGAATCCGGTGCAAAATGAGCCTAAAGTGTAGGCTTGCATTATATCTACATTATTTATATGGTGTGTTTTACATCATAAATTACATAAACAAGTTACAATTTTTTTTAACTTATAAATTTACATAGTTACCTGTGCTTTTCAACCTTATAGTACCTGCAATGTTTTAGAATTTGTCTTGTAATTAAAAAAAAAAACATGCAATAAACATTGATTATAAATATCAAGCATTACTATTTGTCTCGAAGCATTTAAATAGTATATTTACCTTTTGTTTTCATCCTTTATTTTATATCAAAACTATTTGTTGGGTTTTACAAACATGGCCTTAGGTGTAAAACAAAAGTCCAAACATAGTTTTAATGTAGGTAATGTCAGTCCCACAACAGGGAACTTATCCAGATTATATAGGCCTTCAGACCATGAAACTAAGTGAAAACAGCAGAATAATACTATAATAGAGGCCCCTACAGCTCACCATTTCTTTGCTTTATAGACCGTGGTTTGCAATGTGATTCATTCACTCCTAGTGTGATATCGCTCATCTTACACATTCATAACATTCTGCTATGTTGGAAGTACAGTAGTTGTAACGCGATGAGCATTGCTTGATCCCCTGCAGGTTTCTGGAATATAACCTACCATAAGCAAACATTATGGTAGTATGACAGTCCATCTTTCGCTTATTGGATATTCTTCCCTTTGCGCTCATAAACATTCACTATTTATTTATTTTTGAATATTTGTATATATTCATATTTAGTGTATTTTGAGAGGTGTTATTTGTAATTTGGATGCACCACTATGACACTGAACCAAAAGTGTTTCTAAATAAAGTTCATAGTTCAGATTTTTCAAAATTCATGACATTCAAGTATAGTCGCCGCAGAGGCACTTGCTACTGTATATAAATGCTTCTTGTTTAGCAGAAGTTTATACTAACCGATTGAAATAAAGTTATATAATCAATGTTTATTGCATTCCTTTTAATAGTTTGCTTTCACTGACTTTGTTCCGTTTGTCAAATTTCAAGCCAGTTTCTTTCAATTTCATATTTACATTTGGCATTCTCTCTCCCTTTTTGGTTATAAAAAATAGTTGTGTTACCGCATCATTTTTATTATCATTTTTTACTTTGTTACATTTCCAGGATTAGGTTGCCATTATTTATGTCCAATTTTAACCTAATCCGTTGCTTTTTTTTCCTGTTTTTGTTGCATGCCAAAAAAAGGATCCATCGCAGGCCGGTCACAAACCCATTACTAACAATCAGTGAGAAGATAAACCATCATGCATGGTGCTAAAGTAAGTTTCCTGCACACCGTGCAAACCCCTTTCCTCACAGAAATAACCATCATAGGCTGCCCATCCACTGTCTGGTACCTGCAACCAAAGGTTACCGTGGCTCATTTTGATATCTTCATAGAATCTGCCATAGCCTGCCTCTGCACTTGATCATGACATTATCTTTTAAGAAATGTTGGGATGCATTACTGCTCTTATTTATAAAAAGCTAAGAATGATAAAGGTTACAGATGGTTCTGGGCAGCCATGACAGGTTATAGGCAGTCATGACAGGTTTCAACCAGTCATGTTTTGGTGTTGGGCAGTTGTAACTGGTTTTGGGTTGCCATGCCTGATCTTAGGCAGCCATATGACTGGTTGTTTTATATTTTAATAGTAATTCACTGCAGGGTAACATTTTTAGCCATTCAACTATGTTCTACAATAGAAAAGACATTTTTTTTTAGCAAATATTCTTTCCAAGAAGCATTGGAGATTGTGGCGTATACCTTTAAGAATAGTTTGTAAATAAGGAATGTTTTTCATCATAAAATTAACTTACCATTGATTTGCCTTTTGTCATTTCCACTCAATTTTTTATTTACATTCTCTCTGTTCCTTCAGCATCTCTTTATGTTAACACTTGTTTAAACTATAATTATAATTATAATTCTGGATTTATATAGCGCCTCACGTTGACACAACCTCGAGGCGCTTAACAACAACAGAGAAGAAGAAAAAATTAATAAAGTTAGAAACAAATACATTAATTTTTAACAGATAAGCATAATACTTTCAAGTCTTCATATGGTAGAAGTTTATTTTATGAATAAGTATTCTTTATATTTTTATTGGTTTGTCATTTAAATAATAAATTGATTGGTAATAATTTTTTGGCAATAATGCTGCAGTACATGGTATGTCACCTCATGGTATTGTACTTAGGGTTGCAATCACCTCATTTTTTAATAGTAGTCCTATTTTACCATCCAGTGCTCTATCATGGTCCTACACAATTTCTTGGTTATTACCTCATCTTCAACATAAAATTGGAACCACTGCATTACCTAACAATCCTCTAATCTATTTTATTGTGACACAAGTACTGTCTAATATGCATTACTATGCCTTCATATTGTTGGACATGTACAATATATGTCTAACATAAGATGGAAAGCTGAACATTGGGATCATCTAGGATGGGGCTCCCGACAGCGGGGTTACAAGAAATTTCTTGACAGTTGACTTTTAGACCACAATATTAGGAATTGGCAATCATAATAATGTTATTTGGATAGGCAAATTATTATTTTCCTTATTTTTCATCTGTCGACCTTGCTGTTGGGTCAAAGCCTGTTTAACAGGGGGTAAATTCCCCCCCCCCCTTTAATGGCACCAAAACTGGCTACCAGGAAATGTTAAAAACTAAGCCCATCCTATTTTCTGAAAACCTTGGCTGGTGCTTGAAAAATGTACAAGAAAGATTTAAATCAACCTAAAATTTCCACGGAAACAACAGAATGAATTGTTAACAGTACCCATAACAGTTTTAAAAGCTTGGATTCTCTGCCTAAATACATATATTCAATGGATTAGATACATTTTTGTGATGACAATTTTGCCGTATTAACATACTCTGTGCTAAATTTTTCCTCTTTTCTTCCCTTGTGTGTGTTTGGTTGCTTAGTAACCTATCTGTGATAAAATCCTTACTTATAACTTCAGTGGTTATACCTCTGCGTATTCTAGGTATTTTCTTGTTATTAGGTGTGATTATGCCGTTTAATTAATCATCCTTGATTTGGTGTGTTCATCTGATCAGTTTTTGTACTAATCGCATGTATAATCATACTAATATAAACATATATATATATATATATATATGATTCTCACGTCAACTCACACTTCATATTATCAAAAGTTAACATCTTCACTGAGTACTAACTATGCAATCTTACTACTATTCTATATCTTACTTAAAATATAACAAATTCTTTGTTCATTCCTGTAAGTGATATATAAACCGAATCACTAAGAAGAATATTTTCATAAAGTTTTATAAATTAAAACTAATATGAATGTTTTGTATGCTAATTATCTTTATATTGCTTGCATATTGAAGGAGAATGGGGATCTTGGTGTTTCGGAAAATGTTATCACCATGCCAACCACGACAATCAATATGGAGACAAATGTAGAAACGGCACAGCTTGTCAGCAAAGACCAAGATACTCACGCACCACCCACCTCTACATCATGTAATAGTCAAGTTAGATATCAAGAGACAAACATTGATATGGGAACGCCTACGAGTAAGCGGAAATCGTTATCAATCACTGGTAATCTAGAATTAGCAGAGATGCAGCCCCTACTTGACGAGTGTCCAACCTCACCGGCCGAGACTACTACGCTGGAAAGACGATTTATGCAGAGTGATTTATAAGAACTATTTAATATGTCTGAGGCAGTTGCTCCTGTTACGCCAATTATTAATTCTGACTGGTAGTTATGGTATGTATTGATTGGATTAGGACAATAACATCTAAACAGATTTAAGAATTGGTTTAAGATTGGTTTAACAATAGCTACTGCACGTATCTAAACCAAAAGTGTACTGTTAAGCATTGCCTACACAATGTCTACCGTCAGCTGAAGAATCCATCACTGCTCTCTGTAAGCATGTTATGATAAGACTGCTGATCATTTTGAATTTGAATGGATCGTCATTAAAAATGATACGTCGTGTGCAAGTCTCGTCACATTGCATTCTTCGTATAATAGACCTTTCCGGAGGAGTGTCAATCAAACTTAACTGACCAATCGGAACAGTGCCAGGAATAAGCATGTGTCTAACAAGCACACATGTTGTCCCACAATCACCTTAGCAACAGTATCTAAGAGGCGGGGCATAGCAGAAAGGTTCATTGCATTAGTGGACAACCGTCATTGAAATGTGTACTTGGTTGTTGGTATACTTGTTATAGAACCAGTATTCATTCTGTTAAGCATTTTGTATTGGGGTTGTCTTTTGTACAGTACTTCAAATCTATTGTATAATATATATATATATTTAATATCAAGCTAGACAAATTTAATGACTAAATATTTCTTTAAGTATCCATTAATTGAGCACAGGTCAACATCATGAGTCTGTCCACTTTTATTTGAACATATATCTTATGATCATGCATTATAATCAAGTACATAGAAATGTATTGGTAGAAGATTTGTTGTAGGTGGAGCAGATAAACTTAACCCCATTATAACTGAAATATATTGCTGGTACTAAAACCCTGTCCAGATTATCAAATTTTATTTTACAAAAAACATGTGACATACCTAATTATGGTCATGATAACATTACATCATGACCATATATAGGCACATCGTGACTATATATGGGCATACAATAGTATTTTATCAAAGAAAATTTGATAGTGAGGACAGAGTTCAATTCAGTTGAAACCTAGCTAGCCATTCTCTGATAAAACTTAATACCTAAACAATTTTTTTAATGAATATCTGGTGAGAAATTGTAAGAATAAAATGAGTCATGTTGCACTTGTCAATTGGAATGTATTTTATATATAACACACTCCTACAGGGATACCCCACAAACATCCAAAAGACTTTTTTCATTGGGGTTCTTTAGATTTTGTTTATTTTATAATATTCATTTGGGAACTGGGTCAAGTGTTCACATAATGTTCTACATAAATTAAGTTTCATTATGAGGCTTAAGAAATGTAGTTTGTTGTGAGAAAAAAAAATTCTGCTTCTGAATTGAACACAGGACCTTTTGATCCATCTTAACTACTAAGCTATTTAATTCAATTCTTTTATGTTGGGCAGTACACCAAGAAACAATCCCCTCTCCTCGTTCCCGAAGCTATATTGCACAAAGGACCAATGGCTTAAGCATCGCCTCGTGGAACCAGCCTGAGGGATGTCTTCTGTCTAAAATATTAATTTTTCTGTCCGAATTGAAAGTTAATGTGATTGCCTTTCCTAATAGTGTGGTTTAAAGAACAGTTTTCTAAACCACAAAATTTCTTCCTCTTAACTGTAGCCAGGGTTTATTTTCTTTGGGACCCTGAGGCCCTAATCAAACCCTTGCTTTGGACCCCGGACTGACTTGTTGCACCTCCTGTCAGCAAATTTCTAAAGCTACCACAGTGGTGAAATTGAAAAATATATATTCTATTTAATGTACTAATTTGTAGTGGTAATGTTTAGGTTGGTGCCAAGTGCAACAAGACCCATTTTGGTGTGGGATGATCGCAAGCATCCTTTTATATACAATTATGTAATGCCTTTTTGAGTGTGTACAGCATATACTCGTAATTATACATGGTGACACCAGGATGCAAAAGTTTTTTTCTTAATTGTAACAGAATGAATACTCCGCACCCTCTTGCGCTACGTCGTCTGAAAACATGCAATGAATGACTGGGTAGTTATTTGCAAGATGAATTAATCTGAAATTAGGATTTTTTATTTATCATATGAATCATTGAGGATCTTGGATTCTGTTTACAACATGCACCACACTTAAATCATGTAGAAGTAAAAAATAATTAAAAAAAAATATGGAATAAATTTTGATATTTCAGAAATTACTTACAGGAATTTTTTAGACTGTGCGCATTTTTACTATTTTTTAATGACAATTTACAGATTATTCATTAGAAGCTTCGTAGTCTAGATATCTAGTGGCAGTGCCAAGGGGTGGCAAAATGAGATCCCCCACCATCGTCCTCCTCCAGGCAGCAGCCAAAAAAAATCATGTCTGAAATTATGTAGATAAGCCATTAAAATGGCTACAACTGCAAAGCTTCAAAGAGGCGTACCTTCTAAAGGCCAACTCAGACAGCGTCGGCCGACGCAGCCCGACCCGATTTATCGTCGGGGACAGTCTTAAGCCATCGTGAGAAATATCTTGGAAATATTAAACACGTTTAATATTCTACTACGCGACTGCCCCCGACGCACACCATCGCGTCTGCGTTCAACTCACGCAGACCCGACGCGACAACAAATCGCGTCGGGCTGCGTCGGCCGACGCTGTCTGAGTTGGCCTTAAGTTTTTTTTCTCCCAAACGAATTGTGGTTTTTCTTTTTTATCGGGGTAGGGGAAAGAAAATTTCATGGTTCCAATAATATCAATATTGTTCGATGATATCCCTGTCTCTTATACACATCTAGATGTGTATAAGAGACAGGTTTTTTTCTTAATTGTAACAGAATGAATACCCCGCACCCTCTTGCGCTACGTCATCTGAAAACATGCAGTGAATGACTGGGTAGTTATTTGCAAGATGAATTAATCTGAAATTAGGATTTTTTATTTATCATATGAATCATTGAGGATCTTGGATTCTGTTTACAACATGCACCACACTTAAATCATGTAGAAGTAAAAAATAATTTTAAAAAAATATGGAATAAATTTTGATATTTCAGAAATTACTTACAGGAATTTTTTAGACTGTGCGCATTTTTACTATTTTTTAATGAAAATTTACAGATTATTCATTAGAAGCTTCGTAGTCTAGATATCCAGTGGCAGTGCCAAGGGGTGGCAAAATGAGATCCCCCACCATCGTCCTCCTCCAGGCAGCAGCCAAAAAAAATCATGTGTGAAATTATGTAGATAAGCCATTAAAATGGCTACAACTGCAAAGCTTCAAAGAGGCGTACCTTCTAAGACCGCCACATTAGGTATGGGAATACCCCAAAAATTCTTTCCTCTTTATACCTTAGGTTCTGCTCCCTTTGGTCCCATGCAAAAGAATCCTGGATCTGCCACTGGTATCTACTAAATGGGGACCATTAAACCTGCTGTCTTTCAAAGGTATATCAATAGTGTAGTTGACCAGGTAACCAAATCGTGGACGGCTCATAGACAGCAAATACAATAGTTTGAATTCATCTTTTGTATACATGTATTAACGATTCGTTTTTCCAACATCTTGTTAATGTCTTTGTCTAACTGATTTATTCTTGTATAAAAAAAGAGAATCATTTTGTATGATGTATTTATCTGGTTTTATTTTTAAGAAATAAGCTGTAAATAGATAAATTTATTGAAATTTAAGGAAAACTTTGGTTTGGATGTAAGATAGTGTAAGGATGTCGTTGTATTAAGTTTAAATATATGAGCATGGTGAACGTTATGAGTGACATTTGTTATCGCCCTGAACCCAATATGTTTACTGTTTGAATTTTGATTTATTTATTGTGAGGTATTGGAAGAATAATGTTTAATTAAATCGTTTAGGAATGAATTATTTTTATTTAAAACTGCGTCCACGTTTACAAGACAATCACTGCATTATTACAAATTATCCACATGTACATGTTGACTACCTGTACAAGTAGACTACAACTATTGCAGGTTGACCACCTGTGCATTTGCTTTACCTTAGAAAGTTATACACATCATGTGGATGTTTTCCACTTGTTGACCAACTGTGTTTGCCGGTTGCAGTCGACTACTTGTAATAGATGTCCGCCTGTACAGGTTACTTGCCCAAGTAGTCACCTGTACATCAGTATGTAGTGTCCACCTGTGGATGTTCAACCAGTGGAGGTGCCAGAAATATCCTCTGAGTCTCTGATGAGAGGTCCAAGTTCCCTGACAGCAATCCAATTCAAGAATGATTGCAGGAAATTTAAGCAAGAAGAGGCACCTCTCTCTGAATTGGAACTATTAGACTGTAAGAATACTTTTTCAAAGCAGAGATCCCCCACTATCCCAAACTGGCACCTCCATTGTATTCAACATGTTTATTAATTTACTAGTGCCTTACCTGTATTGTTTTTTTTTTGTTTTTTTTTAAATTGCTACTCAGAAATTTGTGCGTTGATGAATTGGCTCATCCAATTTCCATCACAAGAACATAATCAAAAATAAAGAAATACATGATTTGTTGATTCATTGTTTTATTTTGCTTATATACATTTTGAACAGCACTTCATATTCTCAAGTAGTAGAGGATTATTCACAGTACAGTTTTGGTGTATTTAGTCGATTGACACAGAATAAAATACACTGATTTGCAAACTGAGTCAATTAGTTTTGTCTTAGTATGGTACTAAAGGATGAATGATGTTGAGTGTTACTGCTGATGAAGGTCTACACTGGCAGTGCCAGCGACTAAAGGGTGGGGAGGGGGGGGGGGGGGGGGGGGGGGGGGGGGGGGGGGGGAATGTGGAGCAAGGTAGAATTTTGGGAGGTTAACGTCCTCGACGACAGTAAATCAGGCGTGGTAGACATCGATTAAAATGTTTTGACAGTGGTCCATGGTACGGAGGGGATTCAGGGGTTTTAATCGATTTTATATTTAGATAGTCTACTAATATCTAGAAAGTACATAATTTTTTTTTTCTCCCAAACGAATTGTGGTTTTTCTTTTTTATCGGTGTAGGGGAAAGAAAATTTCATGGTTCCAATAATATCAATATTGTTCGATGATATCCTAGCGATAGCGAAGAAATAGCGATGAACTCCAAAACAAAATTTATAAAAGTTTTGCAACAAATTCAAAAACGGGAATGGCAAATGAAGATTCCAGTCAGTTCATGGTCATACAGTAATTCAGAAATCGAACAGTCCATCCGAGGTAACACCGTCAACCATCAGTGGTGGCGCCAGCGGAGGGGGAGGGGCTGGGCCCCCCGTCGGGGAGAGGGCTGCCCACCTCCCCCCCCCCCTCCGGGAGAAAAAGCACAATTCGTCGGGGAAAAAAAATTATAAGTATTTTCTACATATTAGTAGACTCCAAAATCGATTAAATAAGCCTCTGAAAACCCTAAATTGTCAAATTCGCCCCCTGGACCACTTTCGAAACCTTTTAATCGAAGCTCGACCACGCCCATTTTGCTTTCGTCTTGGAAATCTGACCCCTCGTCGGGGCATCGCCCCCCCCCCCCCCCCCCCCCCCCGTCGCGCAAATCCTGGCGCCACCCCTGTCAACCATCCGATGTCGAGCAGACATGGGCCTGGGTATTCCTAATGCATAACTTGTAAAAAACAAAAATGCTCCAGCCAACTATTGAAAACTTAACTTTAGATCGAGACAGCAGCCTACCCGACCTCCATTGAGTCAGCTCGAGCAGAGCTGAACTGTGTAGACTCTGCCCATCTAAGTTATTCTATCATTATGTTGGTAGGTACTCTGGACACATGCCCAGAGCCATGGCCCTCGGGCTGAGGTACCGCTCTACTCTCACTGGACTTCTTGGTTAGATTTCTACCACTCCAGACTTTAAAATCCCTTGTGCAACGAAGTTCCTGGTATCTTATAGAAAAATAGACTCTCCTTGTTTGCGACTTAATAAGTACTATGGTCTATATTTTAATTAATCATCAGATAAGCTTATCACAGCAACTGGAAAACGGCGGGGTAAAAAAATCGTCCAAAAAAAAAGTATGAGCGCTCATGGTTTTTAACAAAATTGATCAATTTTTAACCTGGTCGTTTTTCACAGATTTGGCCACATGGGCCTAATCGAGTATCATCCGATTTATCGTTATTTAAGCTTAAAACTAGGCTTTAAGTGGCAT